TATATATTTCCCCCCAGTACAATCTGGTATATCCCCACTAAGCCTTCCCCACTCCCGCTAAGCTTAAAAAAGTTTTAGTTCTAACTTAAAGTGCTTACCAAGGTTCATTGTGGAATTCTGAGAACTTGTATTGATTCCATGCACATTGATCCTACCACTGCTTTTCCTCTGCGAGAAGGAGAAAAATATTACTGTAATAAAATTAATTGATATGTGCTAAGATATTTCTCTTTAAACAGTCTATCAAAATACATGTAATTTCTAGCTTTGTGATATTGCCTACCACAACACCTGAATCTATTTCCTATGTATATGCTTTGTTTGGGGCTTGAGCAGGATTACACTCATGCCATCACTAGTGATAGTTAAACAATGAAAGTTCGCTCTGACTGAATCTCCTCCAAGATTCTTCTTTGTACATATTTCTCTTTTTTGTACTGACGAAATTGGTTTTGTTTATGTTTGCACTCAGTGGCGGACCTAAGGAACAAAGGGCCCTGGTGCAAGATTTTTTTTGGCCCCCTCAAAAAAACCCACAAACACAGAGCTCTCCTTCCGCAGCGCTCGGCCGGCTGTCACTTTGTCTCCTCCCCGCCGGGACACGGGGAGAAAGCAGGGATGTGCCGCTGTATCAACAGAAAAATGGCACTTTCGGCAAATATGTTTTGGCGTCCGATATATGGTGCATCCCTAATACTTTATATAACAATAGCATTTCTGTATAAAGTACTGCTGAGATTTGTAGTCCTCAGGAGGCGATTGCTTGTAAGTCATACAGCAATTGCCTGCTGTACTTGGTACCAAAGCGGTACCAAGAGCACGGCTGCCGAAGCAGCCGTGTTCTTGTTTTAACCACTTCTGCGGGCCGCGGTCTATAGACCCGGAAGTGGTTAAAGTGACATTAAAGTCAATTTTTTTTATCCCTCCACCCAATGTTAATGTTAGCACTTACCTTAACTGATGTTCTTAATCTAAAAATTAAAAAATAACTTTTTGCATATATCTACTGCTTGCTAGCCTTATATATATGCAAAAAAGCCGAAGAGTTTAATAACCCTTTAATACTCACCTGATCCCTGGAACGACCCACCAGCGCAGACTCCAGTCTCTCACGCTGTCAGAATATGCATACAGAGCATGTCGGTAACTATTTAAACCGGCGCGCTGTGTGCAGCTTCTGAGTAGATATGCTATTAGCATAGCGGTGAAGCCGGCTGCGCATTTTGCATGGCTCCCGCTACGCTAATAGCGTATCTTCTCTGAAGCTGCAATATCCCATACTAGCTGGATCAGGCAGACGCAGCCTTCTAAACAGGCACTGTAGAGGACCCACTTGAGGAGCGGCGTCCGGCGATTACAGAGCCGTGTCTGATGCCGCACGGTCAGTTCACCCCTGTGACCGGCAGCTTGTTGGGCCCCCCCAGGCTGAGGCCCCGGTGCGCCCGCACCGGCGGTAGTTCCGCCACTGTTTGCACTTTTAATATATTTAGGAACTTTGAACACTTGATGCTTGAATAGGGACTGTTTTACTAGCCCACTGAAAGTATATTTTTTTTTTTTGTGCATTATCTGTATTTAAAGTGTATTTCCACTTTTGCAGCCAAATTGGGATAACACCTATTTTTTATTTGTTACATATTCCCATTCACATAGCATAAGCTAAAAAAATATTTTGAAAATACTTCTTGCAGTTTGAATTGCTTTTCTTGGGTTAGGGTTTATGGGCTTTATAAGGATTACCATTTCTGCTTGCTTCTCATTCGTTTGTAATGTTGTATATTCATAAAGTTAATGAGAGAAACACAATCTTCAAATTTCAGTCCTAAGTACAGTAAACTCCCAGTTATCTCGTACCCATGGGGATTGTTAGATGTCGGATGACTGTAGTTTCCGGTTGCTTGAGAGTTACTATTAACTCTCAAGCAACAAACCCCCACCACATTCATCTGCTGGCTAGATTCTGCTATTGGTTATTTCTAATTGCCATAGCCAATAGGAGGCATACGTCCATTGCCCATTGTTTACAGTCACTTGCCAGCTGCAGAATCTAGCCGTCAGCTGCAGCAAGATGTAAACAGAGAATTATTTAGTGTCTATCAAGCAAATGGCAAAAAAAAATTGAGGGCATATTATTATGCCCTTGATTTTTTTTTTGTTGGTTGCTTTAGAGTTCTGGTTGCTTGAATGCCGGATAATGGGGAATTTACTGTATTTCTATAAGGACAGATTACTGTGAAGGTGCTGAAAAAAAACCTGGACTCAGCCATGTTGCCTGCTGCAACAAAACATCTAAAAGGTGTATGGGAACACATAACAAATATAGAGAGGATAGTAGTATATAAAAAGAACCGCACTATCCAGAGAATTCCAATACTTCAGGCTTTATTGAAATGCACAGTAAATCCAGCATAACAGTGAATAAAAGTGTATAAATCAGCAAATACCAGCACCGGAAACCCCCAACTAGCTAGAACCTCTCACATGTTTCACCCATAGGCTTATTCATAGAGAGGGGTTTTCTCAAATTTGACTGTATAAGTAGAAATATACTTTAAAGTGTATCTGTGTCGTCAATTAATTCGTTTTAAAAGAAGCCCTCATTCACTTTTGTAGCTAAAGGCTTTGTTGAGAAAATATGGTTGCTTCTACTTGGCTAAACGATTGAAGTCAACACAGCTTCATGTTATTTACTAAACTAAATGAGCATTCACTTTAGTGAACACTGACCACTTATTTTTTTTTCTTTATTAACCCCTTAATTCTTATAAACAATTAATCTCTGGATAACTTCTTTTCCAACCCATGTATTGCTGACATTTGGTAGATGCTTCCATGTGCTTTCGTCTTAACAATAGAAATGCCCAAGTACTTCGCTGTATAATTGGTGGATTTCTGCTCCTGTGCACTTCACATTATTTGTTTTGTTGGCTTTGAATTGTATTTTACCTTATTATTTTGAGGTTTCCTATTCCCTCATCAGGTGCCCTGATATATAAAAGACATCTTCTAAAATGTTTTTACAAATATGAGCTAAAACCTTTAAATCTGTACAGAGTTGCCACAGGATATTTTGTATTTTGCTCTCAAGTTCTAATCTCATTAGAACTGAAGCCTAAATGCCATCTTTGAAAATACGATTGAAAACTGAAAATCAGAAAGAGCAAAGTTACAAACGTATGTAAGCTGTGTTTTATCTTTAAAACTAAACTTCTAGATAAAAAATAAAACAACTCATTAATGCAGCTATTTATTCATTAAAAGATCATGTAACAAATATAATTACCTAATAAAAACATAATATGACAAGCTGTCACACCCAGATGACACCCTAGCCAACCTGTCAGTGCCTTAAAAAACAAGATATATTTATGTAGAATAGATGTATTTAAAAACTATACTAAAAAGAGCAAACAGTAGAACGCAGCAATACCAATGCCATTACTAAGTTGCAATAAAAGAAGAAATGAGTGACAAAATACAATGCTGTGCTGCTTATAGAACCAAAGTGGATCCAAGGCACAGAATCAGTATATGTATAAAAACTCTAAGCTGATAGATTCTGTCAAGCGGATGAAGCCTTGCCGAAACACATTCCTGACAGATGACCCAAAAGTAGGAGGAACCTTGGATATTCATCTGACAACAGACATGCTCCATCAGCATGACTACTCCATGGTCTACCCACACCAGAGTGGACATTCTACCACAGGCTACCGAGGAAAGTTCAGTTCCTACGTTTACTTGGCTTTTCTTGTTTATACATATATAACTGCATCACTCATTTCTTTTATTCATTAAATTTCTTTTTGCTAGACTATGCAGAGACACGTGTTGTGTCCTTAATTTTAAACAGAAGTGCCTCCATTTGTCTTGGTATCAGCCTCTGTAATACCCCACACAGTACCACTCAAGTATTACTGAGGGTAATATGAATGTGCTGTGTTTCTTTCCCTTACCAGTCAGCAGACTAAGTGGTATGTATAACCCAGTGTTCAAGACCACACTGTGCAACTGTTACAGTGGAGTTTCAGTATGTGGCTGTCCTGCCTGACATTTGTATTTCAGCTTTAAATTTAGCTGTTTGCCTTATTTTTAGCATTAAACTATTTTTGAACAAAGACATTGATCATTTTGTTCAAGATTCCATACAGAACAATGTATGAATGAAAAGAACATATTCTACAACATAGATCACAATGCAGTTACACATACCCGCCATAACAACCCTTCCTGAAGTGCAATGGACAATACTTCTGTGGGATTTTCTATGACTCTGCTTTTATGACCAGAGAAATCCATCGCCACAAGGGAGTTTTCTGATATGCTTCTCTATAAATGAAAAACATACATAAACAAATCTTTATTGACTTTATTATTATATGTATATTCCTTTGTTAGATTCAAAACATCACTTCATGCAAGGAACATACCCCCTGAAACCCAGACTGTATGTACAGTAAATGTGAGTAGAATATATATATATGTATACATATATATATATATATAGGGAGGGAGAGAGAGAGAGAGAGAGAGAGAGAGAGAGAGAGAGACCTTAACCAGATGCACACTTCCACCTTCTGGCTGCAGTGCTATCTGAAAGTATATTTTGTTACTGAAGTCTCCAGCCTGCATGTGAGTAAAATGATTTTTGAAGATTAAGGTTTCATTGCAATGTCCACTGTGGTTAGGGAGAGCTTGAAGTTCAAGATCCAGCTAACAGAATCTCAGAGATGGATATAAGCCAATTGGTAATTCACCAATTCACTAATTCTCTTGGGGGAGATAAAGGAAGGAATTTATGGCATTCCAGGATCTCCTATTGGTGCTGCAGATCACATGGTTGCTATATGCATGGCACTTTATATGGGTTAAAGTGGAGATTAATGTTTCTAGGGAGACAAGTGATGCCAGCTTTTAACTACATAAATCAGGGCTGTCTGCAGTGGTGTGTGGAAGGGGAGGAATCACACAGACATGTTACATGTTGGAATTTATTTGCAACAACATGACTGTTAGAGCCCTATGTTTCCACACAGCTACAGTGAGACTTTGTTAATGAAACAATTTAGATATAAATGCTGCGTCCTGGAACTCTTCAACTGTCACATACATTTCCCCTCTATCCCTGTTCTAGTGACAAGCTTTGGATGTTCCATCAAGTTTAGTCCAGGTGTTCATGGTCACCGACACAAATAGAGAGGGTGAATCACCCTAACGAGGACACATACAGCAATATACTCTAAAAGCGGCAGGGTTCTAACCTCTCAACTACTCCAACACTGAATAAACATTTTGACTCTGATACATTTTATTGTATTCATTTATTACAAAAAAAATATCATGCAGCACATATTAATTTGTGTAATTAATCAACAATTGGATGCAGTACACACCTAGAGACAGCAGTGACATGTGAAAAAAAATAGTTTGAGCTGGAAATATCCATCTGTTTCCCCATTGCTTTCTGTTGATAAGATGATCCTGTACATTGCTACCTATGGGGAGCTTATTAAAACATGCACAGGGCATTGATAGTGTGTTCTGATATTTCATTGCTCAAAGATAAACCCTTATATAGTGGGATGTATTATATCACTGACACCAGTCAGGAGAATACAACTAAACAGTTTAACATTTATTATTTTATTTAAATAAACAATATATACCATAGCCGCAAGATTCTGACTGCTTCCATCACTTTTTTGTTGTGGCCTCATATAATTTTGATAAATCTGTTTTCCGTGCTGAAAATAAATACAGACGTAGCATTAGCAATATGTTTTTGCTCATTATTATACAGTGAAAAACAATGTTTTTAGGAAAAGAATGCCAAATATATGAAAATAAACACCTTCTCATTTTCTTCCACACTCATTCAAAAGTCATGAAGTTATTTTTCAGTCCAGCTAGTGCACCAACCCGAAGTCTGGCTTTACATTGAGTTGCATCATAGAGGGTGACATTTCAAATCAGACTTGTTATCAGTTATGCCTGATTTGTAAATTCAACAGCAGAGGGTACTTAGGTAATCACCTCAGTGATGTTCACAATACCAGATGAGTTGGTTGGATCACAAGTGAATGTATACTGTTTGACCAAAAGTTTTTTGACACCTGAATATAGTGTGTGAATCTATCTTGTTATGCTTTACCTGCAGTTTCATCAAATCCCCTCTTCATTCTTTTGCTATTCATAACTACCCTAGCTCCACAATTGTACCGTTTTCCATTCTATTGCTACATATAGCAGAACAACCTTTAGTACATTTTAAAACAGAAATAAAGTCTGTCAATAAAAGTTACTATGAGTACGAGTTTTTTTGGCAGAACATACATACACACTCTATTTTGGCAAAATAACCTTTTTAATTTATTTATTTAAATGTCTATGAACACTGCATGCCGCTCAATTACTGCATGCCAGGAACAGAGCTTGGTGCTTGGAACAATGTAACTGTGGGTGAACGTAAGAGTTTCAACATCAGTGGCTGCTCAATGGCCAAAGATGAGCAACATGGAACTTGGAAGAAGCTGCGAGGAGGATGGCCGCATTGTCATAGCTTTGGCACTTTTATATTGTTTTAAAACAAAAATAGTATGAGTTGTAATTATCCAAAAAACATATAACTGACAGTTTTAAGCCTAGTTTTCAGTAAAATATCAAAGTTTCAATTGGATTTTGTCATGATAGAATGGAATACAGCACATATCTCAAAAAGGAAAACCAATAAATTAGAAAAAGATCCAGATGATATAGCTCACGAGGTACCCCGACATATATTTTATTGTACTATAAACCGAAGACCCACATCCATGTAAATACTGTACTGAAATACTGGCTTGCAGCCAAAGCTTGTAGCATGCCCCATACCTTCCATCCCTCTCCTTCATCCATCAATGCACGATATTTGCCTTTCTAAAGAATATCGACGCACATACTTTTCATTGTGGGTTCTAAAAGCCCTATGTGCATTGTAGCATTATAGTTTCAACTATTAGGTGTTATAACATATAGTTTGGTTTACTTTTTTTACTGACAAATTCAGAAAGATGGTCATAGATGGGCAATTTTCTTCCAAAAAAACAATGGACTGTGAGACATCTGCCTTGCACTGTTGCACTGGAACCTTGCACTTATTCCATGTACCTCAGAAGTGGAACACATCCCATTAAGCTGTTTGCCCAGGCAAACCACTGACTACACCAGCTGTTTTACCTACCCAAAGAGTTATATTTTTGCCCATCCAGTCCTCAAATTTACACAGCCAAGAAGATCGTACAGCCAGCTTACTGAACTGACTTTTCTATATTGCATTTAATTAATACAGTTAGGTCTCTTCCCAGCCTCCAGCACGTGACTAGGCAATAAAGGAGCAGCTAAACATTGCTAATATCATCTCTCTGCTCTCTTCCTGTCAGTGTTCTTGCCAACACATGTACATGAAGAGCACCCTAACTGGCCCCAAGTGTTGCCCCTCCCTCTCCTTGTCTCATTGCTGCTTTACAGGGAGTTACAAAAGCTAAGATCTAGAAAGATGCAAGTATTTATAGTAGATTCATTTAAAAATACTTTTAATTATGTTGTACAAAATACATAACTGCATTCATTTGTGGGTTTTTTAAAATATCTGCCCATAGTTCAGCTTTAATAGCATTCCTCTCTCTTCTCTTAGAGAACCAGGTAGAATCGGTTTCTTCGCACGGAACTGTAAAAGCTCTGACTGCGATAATGAGTGCTTTCACCATTGGAAGAACTCTTTAATACTCCCTGGGGTAACCCTAAAGAACTTGATTTCTACAGGAGTGTCCCACTTGACTTGGCTGTTTATGGCCACCTTAATTGTAATCCTGTTACACTAAAAGGTTTTTGGATGTACTCTCTTTCAATAGCTCTTTCAGTTTTCTTGGCTAAAGACTGAACTACAGTATATGGATAATCCTTACCAAATAAATATAAGAGAGCATGTGTATAACAGAGAAGAGGTTACCTTGTATAATCTAATTGCTGTCAGCCAGCAGATCTTACTCTCTTCAGTCTCTGCACACAGCAGTTTCATTTCCTTGGCTCCTCCTGTCTTGTTAGGCTAGAAGGCCACAGCACATTTTGATTAATGCATGTCTTGCAGGCAATACCTGTTGAAATAAAAGTCACTAAAATACTCCTACTTAAACAGCCAAGACATGAATACATTTTACCATGCATGCTCTACAATGAATTCCTGCATGAAATTCCTAAGCCTTACAGAGATAAAAGAATGAAACCGTACCTTGAGGCAGAATCCAAAGTCTGTAGGAGCCCCATAACTTTTTCTTGCAGACAGCAACATATATATGTTACTCTGGGGAAAATCACAGAAGAATTGCAAGTGTCTGGGTTCCTAAGAAATATAAAATAGACCAGTCTGTGGGATATGGTGGAGGAAATATGCACATCAAATGCTCTAAATTTGATCAAGGCACCTTTAAAGTGTATCTCTAGTCTCTAGTCTAGTTATTTGTTCATTTTTGGCATATACATTTCTAATGATCCACGTCATTTGGGAGGGGGGCATGGGGTTGTCCATTGCCTAAACACATTTTGCTGCAAGGTCTCTCTTTTTCTCATCTCATAAAGTTGGGCGGTATGAGCCAAATGACAACTTAGAGCTGATTTGCTAGGAGCTGTGATCACAGCCCTCACAGCTGTGAGGCTCAGAATGCTCACCATGTGTCACCCTGAATGATACCTGAAATGTGAAATATCTGCACTCAGGGTTGGCAACATATAATATCACCACAGGCCTGAAGGACAGATGGTCCCATCTCCCCCACTGAGTCTTCCCTTGTCCGTTAGAGAGATTAACCCTCACTATCTATACTGATAACTCTTTTCACTAGGTCAGAAAGGATGTGGGAATTTGCGGGGGGAAATCTGGAAGCCCCCCCCTTTTAACAAAGGAGCCCCCAGCTATCTACCCCTTCCCGGGGGAAATAATAAAGTGGTATATAAGTAAAAAAAATCCTTTATTAAAGCTACAGAAAAAAGTCCTGAAAAATCCATTGTTAATCACATAGTCCATCGATGTAGATCCATCACCAATCACCATGACCTGCCACGCAATTAATTTTCTCTGCTGCCACTATGACCCGCCACCCAAAAATGCTTTTTAATGCACTCATTAATGACAGATCTTCAGTGCTGTGGGATTGTAAACAGTTGAAGTCATTGACCATATTAAGCAGTTAGGAATCTGTCATTTAGTGCAGCAGGGAGAATCTCAAGGCAGCGAGGAAACATTGTCGGGCTGTGGGTTGGCATTATTGATGACTGACATACATCATTTAGACAATGTGATCAAGGATAGATTTAATAAAGGATTTATTCACAGTGTCGGTGCCTTTATCCACATTTGAGAATGAGTAATAAGGGGTACTCATCTACTTCTATAATAATTCCCCTTGGGAGGGGTTTTCAGATTCCTATAGGTCCTCTGCGCAATCCCCCACATTCTTTTTGGAGGACAGTATGTGGGCAAGAGGTTCTTGTCCCTCAACATTGACATCTTGTCTCAAAGGGGAGGGGGGCCGGGCTTTGCTGCCCAGCCTTATAAGGTGCCCCCGAATGTTGACAGGCATGTGGGGACAGGAAGCGGGGACCGCAGGCAAAAGCCCAACTTTTACTGGCTATCCAGGCTAAATGACTGGATATGAGTCTGGTTGGAATTTTTGGGGAAACCCAACACATTTTGAATTCATATAATGGAATATAACAGAGAATAAGAGCCGAAGTGTGAATGGTGCTGTAGGAAGGAAACGACAGTTGATTTTCAGATATCCTGTTATCTGGGACTCCATGTATTTAAATATGAAGAACTCAGAATTTTTAACTCCTGTTATTTAATTTGTCATCAACTAACAGGAAAACAACAACTTTATATCTTTATATAGACATTGATCATTATAAGTACTAGCATTTGCCTGCAACTTTAAAAAAAAAGATGTGGTTGAGAATGTAAATCCGTCATGGAGGAATCATTGCCAGCTGACTGCTGAATAACCCAGGCGCCATGGATTATTAAACAGGCAATAAGCACTGTTTTCCGCCAACTGTGGGTTGTTGTAAAGCAACACATCCCTCACAGTATTATGTATTCATGTTAAAGTTTTACTTATAAAGTTTGCAATTCGAAATTTCACCCTTCTAAGCAAAGGTTGTGATTGCAAACAACAGATCAATGTGCTGCAACTTTCTACAATGCACCTGGAAGCTGGCAATGTAAAAATTAGTATGGGGTGGAATGACCAGGGTTTATATGTTAGTAGATTCTTACAAATAGTTTCAAGAAGAGTTTCAGATTCAGTTAAAAAAGATGATATACAATTGCATAAATATGTGGTAATATGAGCAAATACATCATTGTAGTGAACATTTTTTGTGCCTGATGAACTCTGTCCAAGTGTTCACAATTTTAAATTAGCTCCCCTGATAAAAATCGGCAGCCAGAATTTAGTTATTTATTGCAGCTATATATATAGTGTTGTCTTACACAGCTCTTTACATATTGTAAATCCACCTCAACCCCTGCCCTCAAGGAGCTTACAATCTAAGGTCCCTATCTCACAAGGACACATACTAAGGCCAAGCTAGTTAACCTACCAGCATGTCTTTGGAGTGTGGGAGGAAAAGGGAGAACCTGGAGGAAGCACAAACAAGCACAAGGAGAATATTTCAACTCAATGCAGTCAGTGTCCCAGGATTTGGACTGGGGACCAAAGTGCTCCAAGGCAGGAGTACTAACCACTTAGCCACTGTGCTGCCCAGAATAATTAGTTGTTGATATGAGTCATGGTTGCTCTCTAAGGTGAAGGAAGGGAGTTATATAAGTTCAGTTCAGCTGCAGCATCTCCGATACACAACATTTACTTTCAATGTACTGTATGCCTTCTTAAAAGGGACTATTATTGATGCTGCTATATTCACAGCATATTCTAGTGACTGAAGTGGAAAATCAAACGTAGGGAATCAAGGGTTGCATGCTTTGCTCTATTTATATATGACTAAGACTGGCCTACAGTGACATGTAGAGAAGGAGGGAGAACCAGGCAGGATTGTTGTGTGTGTTTTTATTTTTCTCCATCACAATGATTGTTAGAGCTATGTGGATCCCAAAAACAGTGAGGGTCCATTCAAATCTATCAACTGCATTGTAGTGCATTAATGAGTGTTGTATCAGGGCAGCATATTCATTTCAAAGGCCTGATAATGCACCAAAACACAGCCAAAATTGTACTTACACCATTTTATTAATGCAGCATACCACAGCATGCAGCATATGTAGAACGTTGCAACGTGGGTTTATTGGTTTCGGGTGCCATTTAAAATAAACAGCACTGTATCACACCGCAGTACATAGACTGAGATAGCGCACAACAATAATAGTACTGCAATGCATTGGTCTGAATGGACCCTTAGTGTTCTCACATGGAGTGTGTTGTTGTGGCTGTATCTCTCCTACCTCCATAGTGAATCAGCCAGAGTTTATAAGTGTTTAGGTAGGTCTATCTATAATCAATCTTTATCATATGAATTCTTTAACAGATCATTATTGGATTAACTTCCTGAATACTAGGTTCACATGATAAAGAGGCTGTGCTCCATTTAGATACTATACGGCACACATACATGTGCCCCACCTCCCCCGAGTGGGGAAAGATTGACCAAGATTCCTCAGTTTTGTCATATTCTGCATTCATGAAAGGCCTGACACGATTGGGTGTGTAAATGCGGAATACCCCTTTAATGTTTTTTCTAACAGATCCTTCCATTTGATGTCTTGCTAACTCCTCTAACTCTCTTTCTGACTGCACAGGAATGGAAAAGAAGTGCTAGTCAGATTATATTAATTGTCAAAGTATTTTAGGCCTGAAAAGGGGATGATTTTTTTGTGAATCCCGTCAAATGAAACAGACTGACAGAAGACTTGCAGTATTCTGTGTGAAACTGAAAGTATGGGGAAGAGGAAGGATTCTTCCGGTGTTGGGGAGTCTTCTAGGAAGATCTCTGTGCCCCACACAACTTTGAGGAGCATGTGGACAATATGTCACAGAAAATACAGGTCTCATCATTGGCTTCATCATTGGGAGGGTGCTTTTGTTGTCAATGACAGGCCCATTTGTTGTCATGCAATGGCAACAATATGAAACAACACTCACAGTGGTTCCTCCTGTACCCTGAACAATCCTGCCTCTGAGTGTATAAATTTAGCATTGCACATGCAGTAAATTGTAGTGTATGTGTATATGCTAAATATATATATATGTATGTATATATATATATATATATACATATATATAAGCCCAGTCACAGTGGAGGTCTACACCTGTACTGTGCATGAGGCGTGACTGCATTCGAGCAGGAACACCAGGACCCTTTGGTTGCCCCTTTCCGCCTGACATCGTGACATCTTGTGTCCGGGTTTTAGTGGCCTGAAGCCCAGACACAGCACATACAGGACTCAAAACCTGAACTTTCTGGGTGAATCCTGGACAGGTGACAACTCTACTTCTGTTTTCTTAGCAAGAAAAATAGTTTCATTAATGTGTTATAATAATGTGTAATAATGTGATCATGGTTATTTTGAATTATTTTATGGATGCCTTTTTAAGAAGACCTATGTAATGCTTAATTTGAGCAAAAAATCCACGTGGTGCTGAATTGATACAAGTTCATTAACATCTTTTAAAATTAAAAAACGTGTACTTAAAAAGATAAAGGTTCAAAAGAACTTGCTCTGAAAAAACTTGCTTTTTAATGATGTTTGTTCCTATCTGTTTTCTAAGATAGAAGCTGAGTAGTCTGACTTAAAGATAGACATGTTTTATAAATGGTTACCTCTGTATGACTTGAACAGTTTTCCACCTCTGCTATATAATCTGTGACTCTAGGAGTTGGCATGTTTTGTTAACTTCCCAATTTTGTATGAGTAATGTACCAGTCCTTGGGATTGCTTGTTTATGTCAAAAACAGGTCAGTCTTTATCCTTGACCTGTGGCCCTCTGAGTACAGCAGGTTCATACAGAAGGGAAATATATATATAAATTAGAGATTATATGGTGTGATGGAAGAGCGTTTAAGCCCTGCTAGTTAGACCTACTTATGTTGGTTAATTCAGTTAAAGTCATTATTGTGATATTCTGAGAATATGGGTATATTGCCAACGGTGCTTGGCATTGGGAAAGAGTAGACAACTCTATACTGTCTATATATTGTTATTTTATCAATGTGATGCAAAAATCTGTCGTACACATGAGGTGTACTTTGTGTGTGTCTCTCTCTCTCTGTGAAAAGGTGGATGGTTTTGTTGTCTAGATGCCTCTGTGTGGCATTGTGCAGATGACAGACTGAATTGCACCCACCTCTCCTCTTCCTTACCTTCCAACCATGGGTCTCTGGTGTATCTAATGGGGAAGTGGGGAATGAAGAGGTTGTTTCCAATAATAGTGTGTCAGTGGCATAAGTACAGCCATCATGAGGGGGCAAAGGAGTAGTTTTCAAAATGATTGTCTCTAGTCACCAACCTCTTTTTGCAGGCTATACAATACAGATATTTATTTATCTCTTTAGCAGTATCACCCTCAGAGCTCTTGGTTGTCCCGGCCAGCACCAGATTTAATTACACTGAAAGCTTCTGAGATGATTGTCTGTACTGTTGCCACCTGCCTTTTCCCCCGACTCCCTCAAAGCCATAGTATATGGACTATGCTGGCAGCTCTCCTACTGCCTGTCCTTGGTTTAAACACACTTCATGTTTAGATCAATGACAGTATTGCCAGGTACCTCAGAGAGAGTACTACAGCCAACTTTGTATTGTTCTAAATATGTTGATCTAAATTTAAGTTGATCTAACTAATATCATGTGATTATAAGTAACATATGAAGTAAAATGTATTTATATATGAACTAGTGCCTATCTGGAACAGGTCTGTTAATGATGCGATTGAATCAGACCTGGTGCTGATGTAATAGTGTCTATTCTGATGTACAGATTGAGAAAAAAAAAAAAGTTGATTTATTGTAACTTGAAACATTTTGAAAGTGTGATTATTATTATAAAGAGAGAGAGACCAAAACAGTCATTGAAGATACGGTATGATTTCCAAAGTTTGTTAATGTTGTTTCACTAAGAGACCAAAGTTAATATAACGCTGCCTGTTTTTTACATCCTGATAATTTCTCCCTAAAGTATTCCATTCACAAACATTCAAGTGTATTTCCACTTTTGCAGTCAAATTTAGGAAAACCCCTCTATATGTTTGTTATGTGTTCCTATTCACACAGCATACTGAAAAATAGCTGTTTAAAGACATACTTACCTTTTTAGATGTTTTATTAAATCAGTCAAGATGGCTGATTCCAGGTTTTTCTTAGCCCTTTAACAGTGGTCTGTCCCAATGGAAAGTCTTGGGATTGAAATTTGAGGATTGTATGTATCTAATAAGCTTCATTAACATACAATGCACTAGCCCCCTCTGAATGAACAAGGCCCCTCACCCTAAAACACCCCCTCCTAACATTTAAAAGAAATAAAAACAAGACGAAATCTTAACTCCTAAAACCCTAACCGAAGTAAAAGCGATTTGAACTGCAAGAAGCATTTTTTAGCTTATGCTATGTGAATGGGAACATGGAACAAATATAAAATAGGTGCTATCTTAAACTGGCTGCTAAAGTGGAAATGCACTTTAATATTATTATTGTGTAAGTTGTTATTTTATCTTGTGAAGTGTTATTTTATTTCCACACTGAAGCCTGTATTCATCTTTAAGGGGTGATAACCTGGGTGGTAGCCCTTGTGAATCAACCTTAACCTTGACTGAATAACATTGAAATTATATAATACTGTGAGTGCTACTTTATGACTACTTAAAGAGCAGGATAAATAAAGCACATTATGCTTCTTTGTGAAATGAAATCTAAGAGATATGAGGTAGATAAGGTGTGGTATCTGGAAATGATACCAGGTCAAGGGAAAACAGCTTTGTGAATAAGTATAGGTCTTCTTGAGAATGTATGTGTTGGTGTATGTGGAAGTGTATTCTGGGATGGGCAGAGTCCTAGACAGTTTAAGGAGTTGTAACTGAGCCACTATAAAAGGTTGTAAAATCAGCTTTAACCCATATGTTGTCCCCCAAACTTGTGCAAAGAAAGTATGTAGCAAGAATAAAATGGACAAATGCAAATAAATTAGTACTTATGCTTATCTGGCACACACTTAGAAAGCTTACAAACTGAATAATTTTCTGGGAAGCATCAAAGACTACAATTTGTTTTCCTCACACCTCACATCTTTTGGAGCTTTGACTGGACTTGTAATGCAATTGAGTCATGCACTAACTGACCTGCCTTCCCAAGTGTTTTTGCCAGGTCCTTACCTAAAGAACACTCGACGCTGCCTCTGTATGGGAGTCTGAGAAATGATCAAGCAGGACTTTGACAAGCCTCTGCAGCCTACTGGGAAGGTCTTTCCCAGATCCTACTGACAACTGCAACAACAGTCAAGCTTGAGGGTAAGCCTGCCTGGATATGCGCATCCCACTGCAAAAGAGTTCCAGCCTCGTTCTGAGTGGAATCATTCATTTACACTTACTAACATTTATTAAGGAGAATACCACAAAATAAAGAATATGTTTATCTTTGACATATTTGTTGTTCATTTTACTTTGATTCAATGTGGTTATATAAGAATTCAAGGTACCTTTGATGTTCCTTTTGTGGAAAAGTACAATCCTGAACGTCGTAAAATGAAAAATAGTTTCTTCCAAGATTTTTTCCCTTTTTCTGCCATATATAAGTAACTGTGGATTTCAGGATACGTGCTTGTACTCAATAACATCTAAAAATATGAAAAAAGATCTAAGCAACATGCATCCAGTTGTATGCCAATACTCATAACTAATAATCTGCTCAGATTGTTCTTGCAATGACTATGTCTAAGTAGCCCTTTTTTTTTACAAGAGCAGCATTGAGTTGGTAGGTTAGTTGTTATTCATTACAACTTTCAAAACGCTACATAGTCCCTATATAGTTGTACAGTTCATCTGAAGAACTGGATAATGTGTAGCTCTTCTGCATCTTATTGCTGCTGATCACCTCCCACCTCTTTCAGTCACTTACTGTCTATATGCAATCACTCCAGCTTCAGCTGCACATCATTGCTCTAGACCAGTTCCCTGATAGTGGCAATGGAGGGCTATGCCTGTGCAATATGTGCCGACACAATCACTTGTAGTCTCCCCCAGGGATGCATATGAAAGTGTGCCAATACATGAGTACAATTGGGAAACAGCTTTTACCCTAAAGGATATGAGGACCTTCTTGGCAGGAATACAAGGTATTATTTTAATTAAATTGGCACATTTTCTCAAGACTAAAAGCAACTTTTGAAATTCTGCTAATCTATAAAGTCACATATAAAAGTTTAGTGATTGGATTTAAGTTAAAGTTTGCACAGAACATAAAATAGTCAAAGCATTGTCTATCCTGTAGGAAAGTAAATCTGCTGTTGTTCATCATGGCTGCTACTTTTAGGGCCATGCAACCCATAAGGCCAGTGAGGCAGCACACATGAAAGCATGGTTGGATGTGACATAAAGGCCTTTGTGACATAAAGGCCGCTATACCAAACACTCTTACCTCAGTGCATGTTTAGCCCTGTGTACTGAATGTTCACCCCTCAGGGATGCAGTGTTATTGGTTGTTGGTAGCCATCTGTGCAGCGTCCAGGGGGATTTAAGTAGGACTCAGGCCTACAAAAAAGTCCATATTAAATGTTAAGAAAGCCAGCAATGTGAGTCATGAAGATGAACACATATATACATCATCACTGCACCTCGGTATTACCACAATGAATGCTAACACAGATGTGGTAATCTGGTGCTATGAACCTCTGATTTGCTTGCCTTCCCAGACTTAAAGTGACTCAGAAGTTAAATCTTAAAAATGCATTCAAGTACCTTAACTATTAACAAAAATGTATGTTATTTGTGTATCACTAAGCTGTAGATCTTCAAATCATCTCTGAATTTGTGCCGACACTGTCCTTCCTTCTGGAGGGAGGCTACTTTACAACACACACAGGGACCATGGGGAACAAAAGTAGCCACCCTCCAGAAGGAAGGACAGTGTCAGCACCAATTCAGAGATGATTTGAGGATCTACAACCGAGTGTTACACAAATAAGATACATTTGTGTTCACAGTTAAGGTATTTGAATGCATTTTTTTAATTTAACTCCTGAGTTTAGTGTCACTTTAAAATGTAACTTCTAAGTTAACTTTCATTTTAAGAAAGCAGTATCAATATTTAAAGCAGTGGCAGTCATCTTTGAATATAACTGTGCACTACACTTCAAGTCTACTCCTTACCTTTAGAATGTCCACAGGCTTTGTTGTGCCATTCATTTCACTGGAATAGGACAGCATTAAATCTGGAAAATAGTTCTGGTAACATGAAATCATTAAATACAAATAAAATCATGTAATCTAAACAAAAAAACTCACATATTTATAGATTTAGAAAATGTATTACATTGCATTATCAATGCATTTATTGCCAAGGGCAAGTCACAAAGATTCTTACACAGGTTATCACTCCTTAAAACATCACAATAAAATCAATAAATAAAAAATATGACATTTGCCTGGCAGTAAGTTTTACATTTTATGAGATGTCTATCGTAGAGGGCATGAAAAGGAGTCATTTGAGGTGGGGAAAAAAGTCAGGTGATAAAGTATTAATTCTTGAGAAATAAAGGTTTTCAGTGGTTATATATTCATTTAATTTGAAAAATATTAATTCCATACTTATGTGATACTTATGTTGTTGCGTGAACATTTCCATGAGAAAACTTTTGGGATTTAAAATAACAAATGTAGTTAAAGTACTAGTGCTGCTCACTGAGAAAGAAAGTGATGGGAAATACTTAGGGCTGTCATTGGAACAATTGGTGAGGCCAAATCTTTCAATGGGAAAATCTGTTCTGGTGATTACCATTTGATCATACGATATGGCTCTAATTAGCAGAGATATCTTAGTGGCAATACAACACTTCCCATAGTGTCAGATAGAGAGCCCACAGTACCACCCATAAGTCATCAGTAATTTTCAACAACATTAATAAAATTCTCATAGGGTTGACACTAAAAGCTACTACATAGTAAGTCCCCTAACATTATTTATTATGCAACAGCTTTCACTGGCAATCTTGCTAAATACCTGGTGGTGCCAGGACCTCTTTAAAATAGCTTACACATGTAAGTGTACTGACCCTCAAGTGTACCAACAAAAATATAGAAGTATCTCCCCAGCATAGTCTTGCTGGACTGTAGTATGGACATGTACGTGAAATTTAAGCTATATCTTGTTTACTTAATTTCTACTGAAAATTAGGTGTATTATTTTTATGGTACACTGATTTCCAAGATTTTTTATGGTGAACATTGTTATATTATTTCCCATATTTAATACAAATATATTACAACATAAAGATCTAAACTATACATCCAACACCATATGATTATTGTACTGTGATTGTAGAACTGTTTGTATTGTGCAACAATCATTCTCTTTCCATACCTGGTGTACACATTACCAGGTTAGATGACTTGTCAGCTCTATTGATACTAAGGGGGTGATTTACTAACCTAAACACACGCACGCACCAGGTGCGTGTGATTTTCACACAGCAAAACGTATTTATCAACCAAAAAGTCTCTAAAAGCATATTTCCACTAATGCCATATATGGAAAAATCATGCCCATGATGCATATATAATGCTGCTTCACAGTTTAGACAAAAATGGTTAGCTCATGCATTTACATTCCTGCATTCATCAACGCAAGCAACACAACATAGAGCTAATTTACACAACATCACCTTGCAATTCATGCTTGGCTTTGCACAACACACCTGCTGGATGTGTACACACTACAAAGGTGTTTAGATTCCACCCGTAGATCATGCTGGGAGGGAACACACTACAGAGGTGTATACATGTTTGTGGTGTGTTTATAAGGTTAGTAAATCAACCCCTAAGTGTGTCTGCTAAAATGTAAATTGTTTTAGAGATTTGTGTATAAAAACATGCCAACATTAAAATGTATTGCTGCCTAAATCAATCAGTCAGAGTCCTTTTCTGTTTTTTTTTTACATAGCACACTCTTCATACATAGGCCCCAAAACTGTTGTGCGTACAATATGTGGAAATGAGAAAATGGATCTCATGAGTAATATAGGAATAATGATGGTTATATATTTACAGAGCATTATTAAATACAGTTTACACCTCTTGTAACAATTCTAAAAGATACTCATCAATTATTTGATCACGTTGACAAGCAACCTTAGGGAAGAAATGGAACATACAATTAAATGTTTTAAAAAACATTGCCCATGAGCTAAAGGTAGAAAAGTCCAATTGGCTTGCTTTAACTCTTCCATGGTTTGTTGCACCCAAATCGTCTGGGCCTTTCAAAATTATTCTGATGGGGACTGAAGCCTCTTGCCAGTTATCACTTACCCTCTGCTTTACAATCTTTTGCCCTTAGATGTTAACTTCCCTGCCTGTAATACATCCTGTTAACAGCTTCTTGTCATCAGGAGAGGAAGTGAGTACAAAGCTCCCCAATATGGGCTGCAGAAAGCCTGCCAAAAATGTTAATCCTTTCCCACTCTATCCCACTAAACACTTGCTTCTCAATAGAGATTCACATTAAATTAGAACTGTGGCCAGGCTATGTACAATAAAAATATTTAAATATTCTTAACAATCAGTGAATGCATTTTAAAACAGTGGATGTATCAGTGAGAACGTGTTTTAAAGATAACTTACTGCTTTTAAAATAAGCAAATATTTGAATGTCTATAGCCTAGCCACAGTTCTTTTTTAATAACAACCATCATTTAAAAATGTTCTGATGAGCTAACTACTGCTCAATCAGATACAAAATCCAGGTTTCAGGTATGTTTAATGATGAGCTCAAATGCATATTTACATGTACTCTTCTCATTTACAGTATGGATCCTACCTCAGGATTTTTGAAGAATTCATATTTTGCATAGTATTTTCTGACACAGAACCTACAATCCTCTTCCATGTCCCACTTTGACTGCACTTCAATAACCATTTCATGGTCTTCTATGATTCTTTCTGTAAATAAAACATATCTTCTCATATTAACTGTTCTAGCTTTTTTAACCATAGTGCATTGCAACGTTAAACAATTTGTGTCTCTTGGTAAAAAGAGACATATTGGGGGTATACATTTCCTATTGCTTAGAATAGTATTGCTGTTGTTTTTCATATATTCCTCTGTGCATTATCATCAAGAATAAAAAAAGAATAAAAAACAAAATTTGAATTCATTTTAGTCAAGTAAATATTAATTATTCAATATAAGTGTGTTGGATTTTAATTTACAGGCTTTGATCAGAGTTCTAGGAAACTTTTCAAAAGTTTTCTATGGTATCCTTCATTGGCTTTCCTAAAAAAAAAAAAGCCTCTTTAACAGAACCAAACAAAACTAAATGAGTAAGTGCAGTGACTCTCATTCCTCTTTCCTCTTCTACCTATTGGAGTGTTTATTCCTAAAAGAGTAGATACAAGTGAGGACAAAGATGTGAAGGAAATCTAACCTAGGCAAAGTGTAGAGAGCTGTTCGAACATCGTCCAGTTCTGGTCATCAATGTAATGGTTCTTATGGATCAGCAGTTGACACACATTCAGAGCCGTTATATCATTTGGCACTTCTATGGCCCTGCTAGTACCATCCTCATTGAAGACTTTAATCACCTGTGATAATAAAAGGTGTATATTTAAAGTTTTATTGTTTGAATTATAGTGACTGTTCCAACCAGACATTTTCATGGGGTTGGTTGGTTCTTATGTAAGTGCAAACCTGGAAGTGTAGAAAATATATTTATTATATTATATATTAAGGAATAATAATATTTTCCTGCTGGCCCTTGCTTGTTTGCAGTCTTTGAAGCTTTCCACCTGCCTAGGCATACCAAAAACTGCTGGCTTATTGCCAAATCTCCAGGACCTTAACAAAAATATATAAACAGAGACCACAGATATCAATGTCCATAACATGCATCACAAAGTTTTACACAGAGTAATTATGTCACCCATCTCTTTTTGGATTCACACTAGGCCTGGCATGGTTCGTACAAGGCCTGGCATGGTTGTAGCATATACCAGACCATGGTTCTATACCTTTCTGAAAATTGCAAATGATCGATGTTGTCAAAAGTCATCCAAAACTAAGAAAACAGTTTTGAAGGATTTATCCTTGAAGACCTTGGAAGCAATGAAATACCCTAAAGTGGTAAAAGAAAAGGTAGGAAGGGGTGAATACTTTAAGATGATTGATCATAACCATCTAGGGGGCATTTCCTGAAAAAAAGTCTATTTAAATTGACTTACATTGCCCATTGCAGGTCAACGTACACACAAAGTGCAACATGCAGAATAAAATGCATGATATTGCATCTGGTGGAAAATTTGGGTAATGGTCATGCTTACTTATCCACATTGCCCAGGGCTGTCTAAGCTTCTGTGTGGTCAGCACTTCTGGGTGCAGTGTCTGGATCTGTCCCCCTTATAACAAGTGGATTTGCAGGCTGATATTTGTCAAAAAAACATATTTTACTCCTGAAATATGTTCATGCAAGCATTGAAGAAAGTTGTTTTTCACTTACTGTACCCTTACTTATTTTATAAATGTTTAGCTAACAAAAAACAAGGTTGTGCCAATTGTAGGGTTATTAAGAATACGTTATTATACCTAAATAGGATCAAACTGAGCACCTCAGTGCAAAGTTAAATGTATCTCTTATTGTAGTTGTGATAGTTTGGCAGATAAGCAAAAAGCTTTTACGTCCATATTTTGGAAATTTCCAAAATAGGGAAGGCTACCAAATAAAGCTACACATAGTATAAAATGTATTATGCCACACAAATTTAATATTTTGATTTCTTGATGTTGATTTGGACTTCATCTGTACATTTTTTACTATCTATAATCCATGCATTTTTGTTTGATTAGAGATCAATGTCCTTCCATTCATTGTCACCTTTCTCTGTAGAAGCGTGCTGATTGTTGCAGGAAATACACGAGCAAGTAAAAACTAAATAAGATGTTTTGATAAATTTAATCTTAACTTGATACATATTTGCTTAAAGTCAAGATGATGCTTAAAATGGTTTGTCTTATAACAATATGTGACTCACAAAAGGACAGATTTCATTATACTTTTAAATGGATGCTGTTACAGAGTAATCATTTTTAATCTTCTGCATGACTAATGATGGAGGCATACCCGTTTTTAGGTAAAACATATAGCAAGGTCCCTTCAAAGTTCCATCTCCTCTTCTTTGGAAGTTATGTTCTTTATATGTTAAAGTAGATGTTGGTGCAATGTGAATTTCTTGGACGATTATGAGGACATATTCAGATGTAATGTCCATAGGAATGTCATGATAAATATGACATGGGGATACAGAGATAAAGTAAAACCCTGTAGATGTATCTGAGTAAATCTAGTATTGATAACTCATCAGAACATCTCATGTTAATGAGTACATTGTTGATTATGTATATGTCCAAGATCTTGACAACAATCAGATGAGTGTTAAAGAGTACTAACCATGTCATCCTTTGGGGAGAGCTATTAATTCTCTACATTGTGCTTTGCACCCAATATATGACTGTGCTAAGTACGCAAGTGCAGCTAGAAAAAGCAAATGTATACAGGCTCCACCAGGCACACTGTAACATGAACCTTGTATTTTTACTAGCTATAAGCATACAAATGCACTTCACACTGAACTAACTCATGAACTTGAACAGGTGTTGTTCGTGTGCCACAGATGACTTTTAGTTCCCCTCAATTCCTAACAAAGCAGATTAGTTCTTAGGTTCAAAACTGTGTACAGTTCTTGCTTTTTTTTTTCTTCTTTCTGACCTTGACATTCTCATTTCTCTACTCCTGTCATTGTCAGATATCTTCTCAGAGCACCACAATACAGTACTTGTTTTGTCCTAGTTCCGGGTGACATGTGTCAAGCAGGGAATGGTGTACTTAGTCATACCCAAACACAATATAAGCCTTTTATTGCCAGGCTCCCCCCACCCTTCTAGATCTATTTTTTCTTTTCTTGTTTCACCTTGTTTAATTTAACTGATTAGTAATCTGTGTATAGAACTGCTCTGTTATTCCTTCTGTTTGTCTTTCCTAGTTTTACTAAGTGAAGTAGTGTAAGCCCTAAACTCAAGATGGAAATACTAGATATGTAAGCCAACCTAAGTAAATACATATAAAAACTGTAACATAAGTATAATATATGCATTCATCTAAAGTGAAAGCCTTGCTTTCTTCATTTATAAACAAATAGGGTACTCCCAAAGGCAGACAATAACTGTACTGTAACTGTGAAGAAGCAGTATATTCGTAGCAGTGTCTCATAAATTCCAGAGCAGAGTATTTTGTACCTTATGAAACAAATTATGTTGGAGCCTCTTCTGGTTCTTGCAGAATGGTAACTGTAACAGAGGAGGCATAGGAGGACTTTGACAAGGGACAAATTGTAATGGCTAGAGGACTGGGTCAGAGAAACTCCAAAACCGCAGCTCTTGTGGGATGTTTCAGGTTTGCAGTGGTCAGGATCACATAAACCGGTGAATTAGCGACATGGTCAAGGCTCATTGATGCATGTGGGGAGCGAAGGATGGTCCGTGTAGTCCAATCCAATGGAAGAGCTATTGTAGCTCAGATTGCTTAAAAAGTTAATGCTAGTTTTCATAGAAAGGTGTCTGAACACAGTGTATCACAGTTTGTTGCATATAGGGCTGCCTAGCTGCAGATTGGTCAGGGTGCCCTTGCTGCCCCGTGTTCACCACCAAAAGCGCCTACAATGGGCTTTTGGGTATCAGAACTGGACCACAGAACAAAGGAAGAAGGTGGCCTGGTCTGATGAATCCCGTTTTCTTTTACATCATGTGAATGTGTGTCACTTACCTGAAGAGATAACACCAGGATGCACTATGGGAAGATGGCAACCAAGCGGAGTCTGTATGATGCTTTAGGCAATGTTCCACTGGTAAACCTTGAGTCCTGTCATTCATGTGGATGTTACCTAGACACGTAACACCGACCTAAACATTGTTGATGACCAAGTACTCCCCTTTATGGAAATTGTATTCCCTGATGGTGATATTGCGCCCTGCCAAAATGCAAAAATGCAACACAACAACGACTTCAAGGTGTTGACTTGGCCTCCAAATTCTCCAAATCTCAATTCAATGGAGCATCTGTGAGATGTGCTGGAAAAACAAATCCGATCCATGGAGGCCCCACCTTGCAACTTTAAGGATCTGCTACTGATGGCTTGGTGCCAGATATCACAGCATACCTAAGTCTAGTGGAGTCCATGCCTCGATGGGTCAGGAAAAAACGGGACCCACTTAATATTAGGGGGGTGGTTATAATGTTATGGCTGATCGGTGAATATATATATATGTTTTCTTTTTTTTATTGCACTCCCAACTAAAGCATAAGGGTTGATTCAGTAAAGGAAAATAGGCTGTTCACTTTGCAAGCAAAGTTTCCCTTACCATAGTGAATGAGGTGAAGCTATGCTTAGTTCCTTCATTCAATCATGTGGAAGCAACAAAAACAGTTTTTTGCTTTCCTTACACATAATTGAGTATTATTAGCAAAGTCAATGTTAAGCTAAAATAACTTTGCAAACTGAACAGCCAATCTGTATTTAGTAAATCAACTCCACTGTCTCTAGTAGAAACACTACTGGCATCAGTAGAATCAAGAATATAAGCAATTAATCTCTCCACGTGCTCCTCAAGGTGGGTTCTATCTAGGTTTGTGATGAACTGAGCTTCTACTGCCAAACTAATTGCTCTGGGGTACCCTTCTACTCTTGTGCAGTCAAATAGCCCAGACATCTGCAATGTGAACATGAAGGTTGCTCTCTAAAAGGATTGTGCCATACATGAATTGCTTAACAAGGTACTATGCTCTTCCATAATAGAGCAACATATGTTCCCACTCCTCACATAGCAATTTTGCACTTCTCTCTCTGTTTCCATGCCTTTGCATGCCCACATCTTCCATTACCTCACCATGCATAACCTGCCTGCAGACCATCTACAGTCATGAGAACTTGCCATTCCTTTACATCATCCTATGAAGTCAGAAATGTTAAAGAACAGTTTGCATCTACACTGACCAACAAAACAAAACCTCAATACAAATTCAGAATAAAAAAAATAACAACCTTTACTGTGAATGAATACAGTTAATGTGGCAGTTTATGTGGCACCCATCCAAATATCTAGGTACATGTGAAAGAATGTGACCTTCCCTGTGTGGCTTTTTCAGCTTTTATTTCTCCCAAGATGCAATTGTAACATACGTATTCTACTTTATGAGGGCTTTGTCATCAGCCAGTTTAAAGTGGCCAGCTTAAAGTGTATATCAGGGCAAAAAAATTAACAATTTGTACAATCTTCTCTTTGTTTTATCCCCTTAAAATAGTTTGTTGCTTAGATCCAGAATCTGGGATTCCAAACAGACAACTCGCTTACAACAGAGTGCCCTTTCTGGATGAAATCCCAACCAGTATTGTTGGCCTCACCTGCTAGCCTACCAAACTGTATCTACCACCCAACCCTCTCTGTTCCATTCCACATGCATAGATAGGTGTATTTCCCGGCAAACGTAAGCTGCTGCCCTGACACCCTGCAAACACACTAGGTGTAGAGAAAGGAC